ATTTTTTCAGATGAGAGGCTAAGTTCTTTTGACTTAACCATAATCTGATCTAGGGGTCTGCATGCAGGTTGGAATTCCAATTGTTTTCCACTTCCTTAATGAAATCAGGATGTAGAGTCCACATATTCTGAAATCTAAAGGGTGTATGAGTTGGACTAGCAGTGTTATGTATGGAGCAAAGGAGAGGTCTGTGATCAGATCCAGCCATTGCAAGGCGGGTGACAGTAGAGAATGGAAATGTTTGAAACCATAAGGAGTTTCCAAGCAATCTATCCAATCTTTCCCACAAAGTGCCTCTTCTCCAAGTGAACTTTGGACCTTGAAAGCCTAGATCAAATAGACCAACATCACTGATGAAGTTATTGAATTTGGCTATTGGAGAAAGTAAAGGGGCTTTACCCACTCTTTTTTCAGTTGGAGAAGTGATATAATTGAAGTCACCCCCCAAAATCCCGAAAGAGTTAATATTTTGTCCCAAAGTCATCAGCTCATGCCACAGTTCTTGTTGGTATCTAGGAAGGCTGCTAGCATAGATGAATGATGCAAATCCCACCTGTGCTCCAATAACAAACTGAATGTGAAGAAACTGATGATGATTAACAAGTAAACTGCACTGAATTTTGCGTCTGACAAAGAGCCAAATTTTATTAGTGGAATTAGCATAAAAAGTAAACTTGGAAAACTTTTTGATGATGTTTTGAGGATATTTGGTGACCATAGGTTCAAGAATTGCAAAGCACCAAATCTTGTGTAGTCTGATGAGATGTCTTAATCTCAAAAGAGAGGAGGGGTGAGCCACTCCTCTAATGTTCCAACACAAAATATTAATCATGGGATCCTTAGCATTCCAAAGAGGAATACTAATCACTGATAGGTGAGAATTGAATGGAAGGTTGAGACCTTGACCTAGTTCTTCCTCTATTATATGTAGAGGTAGAGCCAGAATGAGTCTTAGCCTTTCCATCCTTCTTAGGAGAGTTTGTTCCTTGTAGAAGTTGCTGCACCTCAGAAGTCTGCTTTTTCTTTTTCTTGGTTTTCTGAATTTGCCCATCCTCTTCCAAAGCCTGTTGCAAATCAAAGACATCAGCCTCAGCAATGCTAGGAGTAGCCTCATTGGTCAGGGAACTTTTCATCACATTATTTTTCCTTTTTTTTCTGACTATCTTCTCCCAAAGCCTGCTGCACATCAACAACAACAACTTCAATAATTCTAGTGTCAGCCTCAGTGATCAAGGGGCTTTTCAGAGCACATTTCCCTTTTCCAGCAAGTGTGGGGGAAGGAGGGGTAATAATACTGACTTCATTAGGTTCTGCCCTCTCCACACAACCTGGAGAAATTTCCAATTTATTTTGGGGTTCTGATAATTCCCCCAATGCATCACCAGAGGGGAAAGTGGCAGGAGGGTTTGTGTTCTTAACAAAAAGAGTTTTACTGGTTTTCCTGACAGCATCCCTGTGATTAAATGTAGTGATATTA